AGGTAGGAGGAGGAGGAGGAGGAGGCAGGAGGTATAGGAGGGGAAGGGGAAGGAGGAGGGGAGGAAGAAGGAGGGGAGGATGGAGGAGGAGGAAGGAGGAGGAGGAAGGAGGAGGAGGAGGAGGGAGGAGGAAGGAGGAAGGAGAGGAGGGAGGAGGCAGGAGGTCAGGAGGAGGCAGGACAGGGACGGAGGGGAAGGAGGAGACGGCCACTTCCGGCCGAGGAGGAGGAGGAGGAGGAGGAGGAGGGAGGATCGAGCAGGAGGCAGGGAGGCAGGGAGGCAGGGAGGCGCGGAGCGACCGCCCCCCGCAGCCGCCCGGGCGCCGCGAGCCCCGGCGCAGCCGCCCCCGATCGGCGCGCGCGGGCGCCGTGCCTCGGGGCCGCCCCCATGGGCCAGCGGGCCTTCACGGCGGGCGGCGCGGGCGAGGAGCCCAGCGATCCAACGCATCTCGTAGGTTTTTCGTATGTTTCGGAGGTTCGTAGTTTGTTCGGATCTTCGTAGTTTTCGTGTTTGACAACATCAGGGCGGAGGTTCTGCGTATTTTTCGGCCTCGAGGGGCCCTCGCCGGGCCCCGGGGCCGTCCAAGAACTACTCGGGGCGAGAAGCCGGCCCCGGGAAGAGGGGTCAAGGCTTCTGGGGGCCCCGCAGGCACGGATCCTCCGAACGCTACTCGATCGACTATACACTGCTCTGCACCCGATGTGCATGAGAGCAACGGCGGCTGAAAGCGGCCGGCGAGGCGCCACTGCTGGACAAAAAAGCCACATCTGTGCACGAGAGCAACTGCGGGGCCCCGCCTGGAAAAACCACGACGCCGGGCCCCGGGGCCGTCCAAAAACGACTCGGGATGAGAAGCCGGCCCTGGGGCCCTGGGGGGAGGGGTCGAGGCTTCCGGGAATGACTCGGGATGAGAAGCCGGCCCTGGGGGGAGAGGGTCGAGAGGCTTCTGGGGGCCCCGCATTGGAACAAAACCACGGCGCCGGACCTCGAGGAGGTGCGGCCCGGCGGGGCGGCGGAGTGCCTGGCGGCGGCCTGCGGCTCGGCCTGCGGCTGCGCCTGCCGCCCGCGCCTGCCGCCCGCGAAGGGGGGCGCCCAGCGGGAGGGGCACCAAGCGCCTGCTGCTGCCCTCCTCTCCTCCCCAGACCGGATCCCCAGACATCCGACGCCTCGATTTTTTCGAGACGCGGGCCCCCGACCTCCCGACCACTTCCCCGGGACCGGTTTTCCGTCCCAAGTCCTTTTTTGACGGTCCCGAGGCCCGGCGAGGGCCCCGAGAGGCCGAAAACGACGAAAAACCTCCGTCTCGATTTTTTCGAGACGCCCGATGTCTGGGATATCGCGCCGCAAAAAAAACATCAAATCAGGGCGGCAAGTTTTGCGCTGTGCTCGGTCCCGGGCCCTTGGGCCTCGGGGCCGTCAAGAGAGGATTCAGGATGAGAAACCGGCCCCGGGGAACGGGTCGGACGCCGCCCTGAAAAAGTCAGGACGTCGCATGTCTGGGTCCTCCTCTCCATGGCGAGTTTCTCGTCTCGGGTGATTTTTTGGCGGTCCCGGGGCCTGGCGAGGGCCCCCAGAAGTTGAAGCCGGTCAGTGCCAGGAGTCTCCGACGCGAGCTCGTCCGAGATCCGAGGCTCCGACAAGAGAAATCAGGTCCGGGCTTCTGTGTGAGGTCCGGCGCTGCCCCAAAAAAGGCAACATCGCAAAACGAAATCACGACCAGAGCCCTGGGCCGGCTTTTTCTGAGTCACTTTGCGGGCTGAACCGATCTGGGAGGGCCCCTTGGGGCCGAGAGTGGACGAGAAGCAAGCCCGTGGCGAACAAAAATGCAGCGCCAAGATCTCAGAATTCGCGGTGCTGCTTCCAGGCTCAGGGGCAACGATAGGGCAGGATAGGCACAGGGGGGGGGGGGCGCATCGACCCCCCAATCGCCCATTGGATCGCCGAGAAGGGCCAGGTAGCCCCAACCTGTCCAGGGACGTGCGGATTCACTGCCAGAGGCCCATCGCCGCTCTGTCGGCGACGTATCGCCGATCCATCGGCGATGTACCGGTCGATGTGGCTCGCCCTGCCCTGAGATCCGACGGCGCCACAAAACGGCAGCGTTTGAAAAACCACGCCCGGAGCCCTGGGCCCCACCTTGCAGAGTCCTTCCTCGAGCCGGGTCGATCTCTGAGGGCCCCGGGGCCCGAGAGAGGGCGACAACGCCCGGGTCGAAGAAAGTCAGGTGCCAGGATCTCAGGGGCTCTCCCGCTGTCCGTCCGATCGGTCCGCTTCGACCTCGGTCTCGGCCGGCCCCAGCCGATGGCGGAGCCCTCGAGCCGGATCGATCCGTGAGGGCCCCAGGGCCCACAAAGGGGGCGGACACGGCCGCGGTAAACCAAAATGCTACGCCAGGATCTCCAGGGGCTCTCCCGACCCAGACCCCCGACGTAATGATTTTTTCATTACGTCGACCCCCAGAGGTCCCGACCCGTTCCCCATGACCGGCTTTGCATCCTGAGTCGTTTTTTGACGCTCCCGAGGCCCGGCGAGGGCCCCCGGAGGCCGAAAATTCGGAAAAACCTCCCGTCATGATTTTTTCATTACTCCAGGGGCTCTCCCGATGTCAGTCCGATCCGTCCGCTTCGGTCTCGGTCTCGGTCTCGGCCCGAGCCGGTGGCGGAGCCGACGCGCCGATCGGCGCGATATGCGCCCCGGCGTGCGCGGGGGGCCTGCGGTGCGTCCCGGCGCGGCCGAGCGGAGGCGATCGTTCGGTGCCGCGGCCCCAGACATCGGGCGTCTCGAAAGAATCGAGACGGGTTTTTGTCATAGTTTTCGGCCTCTCTGGGCCCTCGCCGGGCCTCGGGACCGTCCAAAAAACGACTCGGGATGAAAAACCGGTCCCAGGGAAGTGGTCGGGAGGTCGGGGGGGGGCCCGCGTCTCGAAAAGATCGAGACGTCGGATGTGTGCGGTGCGTCCCGGCACGGCCGAGCGGATGCGATCGTTCGGTGCCGCGGCGATGCAGCCCGATCCGACGCGCCCGGTCGAGGCAGCGTCGTCGTCGTCGTCGTCGTCGTCGCCGTCGTCGTCGTCGTCGTCGTCGTCGTCGTCGTCGTCGTCGGCGTCGGCGTCGGCGTCGGCGTCGGCGTCGGCGTCGTCGTCGTCGTCGTCGTCGTCGGCGTCGGCGTCGTCGTCGGCGTCGGCGTCGGCGTCGTCGTCGTCGTCGTCGTCGTCGTCGTCGTCGTCGTCGAGCCCTGAAGCTGGGGAGTTTTGGGCTCGGGGCTCTGCCCCCCCGCCTCTGGAGATTCGAGGCTCTGGGGCGTCCTCGCAGGTCCTCGGCCCTCGGGGGCCGTTTTTTCGGGCCCCACGAGCATCAAAACGCTGACCCAGGACGAAAATCTTCGACTACACGTATCAGTGACCCTTCGCCGGAGCGACCTTCGGTGCGGGCCCGGTCGCGTCCCCCGATCGCGGGGCGCGACGCGGGTAGCAGCGGCTTGCGCGCCCAGGTTGGGCCACCCCGCGTCCCCCGCCAAGCCGCGCACCAAGGGCTATACCTCTTGCCCAGGGCCACTCTTGCGCGGAGCCGTTCTGGGCCTCCCAGATGGGGGCCGAGCAGATGGGGTCCCCGCGTCCCCCGCGAAGCCGCACACCAAGGGCCACTCTTGCTCTTGCGTAGATCTAGGCCTCCCAGATCCGGCGCCGCCCCTGGCGCGCTCCGCGCGCCAGGGAGGGGGGTCCAGCGCCGATCCGAGAAATCCGTTCGGACCTCCGAGTTTTTATGTTTATGTAATTTTTCGTTCCCCTGAATAGGTTCCCGGATGTAGAGAGCTAAAAGGGTTCTGGATGAAGAAGCTGGAGCCGCCGCAGGGGTGCCCCGGAGGTCGTTCCGGCTTCCGGCAGGACACCTCGGCGGGGCTTGCTTGAAGTCGCAGCCCCAGACATGCGACGTCCTGGTTTTTTTAGGGCGGCGACCCCAGAAGTCCCTACTTCTTCCCTGGGGCCGGTTTTTCCTCCTGCATTGTTTTTTGACGGCCCCCCGGGCCCGGTGAGGGCCCCCAGGGGCCGAACGCGACGAGCAAATTGCCGCCTTTTTTTTGGAACGACGCGATCATGTCTGGGTCCAGGTATCCTTCAAAACAGGGCTAGGATCGGGATAAATCGCTCCAGAGCGTTCCGGAGCGCTCTCAGAGCGTTCCGGAACGCTCTGGAGCGGCCGCGGCGCCCAATACATCCTCCAACCCCGCCGATTCGCAGAGATCTCGAGTTCTCCCGATCCGATTGTGTCCCGATCTTCGCGTCGTTTTACCTTGGAGAGTTCTTCGCCAGGCCTTTCCACGCCCTTAAGGGCGCCCTGCTGTCCGGGCTTGGGGCCCCACGAGGGGCTGCCGCCGCTGCCCCTGAATTACGTCGCGGGCCTAGAGATTGACACCAACACCAGTATCGGCGGCGTGCATCCACCGAGGGAAGAAGATCCCGATCTCGGTGGTGGTGTTTCTATACTCTGGCTTCCAAGGTGGCCGAAATATCACCACCAACACCGGAATCTGGGATGATCTTCCCCCTGTGGAGGCAGCCCCCTGTGTTGGTGCTGGTGCCCATAGGCCTCCAATCACAGGCTCCGTGCGCGACGGAGCCTGTGATTGGAGGGTCAACAGCCCCGGGGCCTGGCGGGGGCCCCTCGAGGCCGAAAGAAACGAAACAAAAAATCCGTCCTGATTTTTCAATGCGTTGGATCTCCAGGTCTGGGGCCCCACAAGCGGCTCCCCCAGACATCCGACGTCTCGACTTTTTCGAGACGCGGGCCCCCGACCTCCCGACCACTTCCCTGGGACCGGTTTTTCATCCCGAGCCGTTTTTTGACGGTCCCGAGGCCCGGCGAGGGCCCCGAGAGGCTGAAAACTATGATTAACCTCTGCCTCGTTTTTTTCGAGACGCCCGATGTCTGGGTCCAGGTTTTGGGCCCCACAAGCGGCTCCTGCCGTTGCCCCTTCCCAGGCTCAGCGCGCCCCCGGGGCGACGCCGACCCCCCCGCGCTGCCGGGCGCCGGGGCCGGGCGGCGCGGGTCGGGGCGGCACCGGGCGGGCAGGGCGCTGCCCCTGCAGGCGGCCCGCGCGGAGCTGGGCGCGATCCTGGAGACCAGCGGCGCGCCGGCCAAGAGATCCTTCGCCTTGCCTTCTTCGTCGTCCTCCTCCTCCTCCTCCTCCTCCTCCTCCTCCTCTGCCTCCTCCTGTCCTCGTCCCTCCTCCTCCTCCTCCTCCTCCTCCTCCTCCTCCTCCTCCTCCTCCACCCCTTCTCCTCCTCCACTCCTCCTCCTCCTCCTCCTCCTCCTCCTCCTCCTTCTGTGATCTTCCTCCTCCTCCTCCTCCTCCTCCTCCTCATCCTCCCCTTTCTCCTCCTTCTATGCTCCTCGTCCTCGCGTGGTCCTCCCTCTGGTCGCCATCGCCCCCATCGATTTGTACGTGGATTGTAAAGGCCACCATCGGCGTCGTGAGCGGCGGCACTGGGACTGGCACCAGCACGACAGATGACCGACCACATTGCTGGGACAAATTCTGGGGGGCGTTTATACGAAACCCACGCCCACGCGATGCAGGCAGACGTGGACGGCGGCAGGACGACCGCCATGGAGAGGCGCACGAATGCCAAGGCGGACGAGCTGGCGAAGGCGGGGGCCGCCTGGCATGGAGTCACCAGCACTGCTGCCCATCTGTGGGCTGGTCTGGAGGACATCGCGGTGGAGATTGGCCGGTGGGCGGGGCAGCTGCACAGCCATGTCGCTGACAACGGGCCTCCAGGTCGAGAGAACGTTCTGGGCAGGCGTAGCGGCAAGGAGGACGCCGCGCAGAAGCCTTAGGGGGCTGAGGGTGGTGCCGTGAGCCTGAGTTCCAGCGCTGCTGACCCGCCCCTTCAGCCTCCTCCTCCTCCTCCTCCTCCTCCTCCTCCACCTCCTCCTCCTCCTCCTCCTCCTCCTCCTCCTCCCCTTCCCCCCCCCTCTTCCAGAGTTGTTCATTGAGTGGGCCCCGGCGTGGCGCGACTACGAGCCAGTCGCGTTTCGGGTGCTGGGCCACGCGTTGCTGAGCGCCGACATCCAGGGGAAGACACGGGATGCGGCCGAGTCTCTGCTGCCGCTGCGGGGCCTACGTCGGGGGCAAGCCCCCGGGGGGGAGTGCATGCGCTCTTTCTGCAAGGGCCCGAGGAGCGGCCCGAAGCTCCAAGAGCAAGCGCCCAGACTCTCGAGGAGGAGACCAGCCCCACTGCCGCAGGGCAGCGAGGGGCCTGAGGCTTGCGCCACGCGAGAGCGTGCGCCCCCCTGGGGTGGGCGCCAGCGGCTGCACGCAGTTTGCTCGCAGGTCGCCAGCCCTCCGTTGGCCCCGCCCGCCCGGCCACGTGCGGGCGGAGGGGGCGCGCGGCCTCTCCCGAGACGTCGCCGCGGCAGGCCGTGCTCTGTGCGCTCGGCCCCGCCGAAGCCGGCCCCCCGGGGAGGGCGGCTGCGCGGCCAGAGGGGGGCCACCCGGGCGGCTGCAGAGCGCGGCTCGGGCTCCCCACCGGCGAGCGGTGTGGAGGACGAGGAGCGTGATAGTTCGTTTTCAGTGGTTACGATTGCCGTCCGAGGCCGATCTCAGCCTCCTCCTCCTCCTCCTCCTGCTCCTCCTCATCCTCCTGCTCCTGCTCCTGCTCCTCCTCCTCCTCCTCCTCCTCCTCCTCCTCCTCCTCCTCCTCCCCCTCCTCCTATGCCCCTCATCCTCCTCGTCCTCCCCCTCTTCCTCCCCCTCAGCCTCCATTCCTTTACCTTCTGAATAATTTCCCCCTATCGCACCCGGAGGCGAGTTTTTAGGGCGGTCCGGGCGCTTCGCCTGAAAACTTGAATCATTAAAACAGTTTCACAGACGGAGGGCGGGTTTCAAGATGTTGTTCTCGCCTGAGCGCCCCGCACATTCGGTTTAAATACTTGACAGAGCTTCACGGATTGAGGGCGGCCCGTTTTCAAAATGTGGTTCTCGCCTTAGCGCCGCGCACAATCGTTTTAACACTTTGCAAGAGTTTCACAGATTGATGGTGGTTGCTTTTCAACATGTGGCTTTCACCCTAGCGCCGCGCACATTCTTTTTAAACATTTGCAAGAGTTTCACATATTGAGGGCGGTTCCTTTTCACAATGTGGCTCTCGCTTTAGCTCCGCGTGCACTCGGTTTTTGAATTTGCAAGAGCTTCACGGATTCCCATGACCAGCGTAGCAGAAATGGGGTTTTGGAAGGATTCCAGATTTTGAGGGTCAACAGTTACGTTGATTCGTTGTGCTGAAGTCCCAGGAATGGCGTTCTTGCGCGATCGGATCGTCAAGACGCAACAGTGAGGTTGATCCGTGGCGTTGGAATCCCGAGAACGATGGTGTGGCATGCATCAGGGTCTTCAAACGGCTGTCTTCCAACGAGGCAGCTCCCTCAGTGGAAATGGACCCATGTAGGCTTCTATGAAGAGGGAGCTTGGAGGGAGAGTTTATGCCAACATCGTTGATGACTCATGTGTTTACACTGATCCTCCTCCTCCTTTTCCTCCTCCTCCTCCTCTTCCTCATCCTTCTATGCTTCACCTCCTCCTCCTCCTGCTTATCCTCCTCCTCCTGCTTCTTATCCTCCTCCTCCTCCTCCTCCTCCTCATCATCATCATCCTCCTCCCCCTCCTCTGACACCACTCTTCCTCCTCCTTCTCCCCTCCCTCCTCCTCCTCCTCCCCTCCTCCTCCTCCTCCTCCTCATCCTCCTCCTCGTTCTCCTCCTTTTATGCTCTTCCTCCTCCTCCTCTTTATTTCCTCTCCTCCTCCTCCTCCTCGTCCTCCTCCTCCTCCTCGTCCTCCTCCTCCTCCTCCTCCTCTTTCTGTTTCTCCGTCTCCTCCTTTTCTTTCTCCTCCTCCTCTTCCGTCTCCAGTCTTCCTCATGATGAATAAAATCACTCTGTCGCGCCCCGAGGCTGGTCGAAAGGGCGTGCTGGGCTTTTCGCCTGAGACGTCCTCTCCAGTTATGATCTCGGAGCTTGCAATTTGTAGCAGATTCACGGATGGAGGGCGAGTGATTTTCAAACTATGACTTCCTTCAGCGCCGTGCGCATTCGTTTGAAACATGCAATAGTTTCAAGCATTGAGGGCGGGTGGTTGTCAACATACGGTTCTCGCTTTCGCGCCCCGCACATTCGTATTAACAGTTGAAGATTTGCACGAATCGAGGGCGGCTCCTGTTCAAAATGTGGCTCTGGCTTCAGCGCCGCGCGCGTTCGTATCAAACAGTGCAAGGACATTCGTGTTGAAACATTGCACGAGCTTCACGGATGCCCAGGGTTAAGTATACCAGAAACGGTGTGTGGGGAGGATTCGTTACGTTGATTCGTGGTGTTTGTTGAAGTCCCAGGAGTGGCGTTCTGGCACCATTCGGGACCGTTGAGGCACAACAGCCAAAATGATCCGTTGCGTTGAAGTTCCGAGAATGGTGTTCTGGCACGCTTCAGGATCTTCCAAGGGTTGTCCCCCAACGGGGCACCTCCTTCAGTGGGCATGAACTCTTGTAGGGACCTGTGAAGGGGGAGCTTGGAGGGATGGTTTATCCCAAGGAGGATCGACGCAGCAGGCACCCTTCTTCATGTCTGACCAACGTCGAAGACGAGGAGAAGGAGGAGGATCGACGCAACAAGCACCATTCTTCGTGTATGATCAACCTCGAAATCGAGGAGGAGGAGGAGGAGGAGGAGGGGGGAGGAGGAGGAGGAGGAGAAGGAGGACGAGGAACAGGAGGAGGAGAAGGAGGATGAGGAGGATCGACGCAGCAAGCACCCTTCTTCATGTCTGATCAACGTCGAAGACAAGGACGAGGAGGAGGATCGAGGCAACAAGCACCGTTCTTCGTGTATGATCAACGTCGAAGGGGAGGAGGAGGAGGATGAGGAGGATGAGGAGGGGGAGGAGGAGGATGAGGAGGAGGAGGAGGGGAGAAGGACGATGAGGAGGGAGGAGGAGGAGGAGGAGGAGGAGGAGGAGGAGGAGGAGGAGGAGGAGGAGGAGGGGGGGGGAGAGGAGGAGGAGGAGGAGGAGGAGGAGGAGGAGGAGGAGGAGTAGGAGGATCGATGCAACAAACGCCCTTCTTCATGTCTGGTCAACGTCGAAGACGAGGAGAAGAAGGAGGAGGGGGATCTACGCAACAAGCACCGTCCTTCGTGCATGATCAACGTCGAAGAAGAGGAGAAGGAGGAGGATGAGGACGAGGAGGAGGACGAGGAGGAGGATGAGGACGAGGACGAGGAAGAGGAGGAGGAGGAGGATCGACGCAACAAGCACTCTTCTTCATGTCTGATCAACGTCGAAGACGAGGAGGAGGAGGTGGAGGAGGATCGACGCAACAAGCACCATTCTTCATGTATGGTTAACGTCGAAGACGAGGAGGAGGAGGAGGAGGAGGAGGAGGAGGAGGAGGGGAGGAGGAGGAGGAGGAGGAGGAGGAGGAGGAGGGGGAGGAGGATGATCGACGCAGCAAACACCCTTCTTCATGTCTGGTCAACGTCGAAGACGAGGAGGATGCGGAGTAGGAGGATCGATGCAACAAGCACCGTTCTTCATGTATGATCAACGTCGAAGGGGAGGATGAGGAGGAGGAGAAGGAGGATGTTCACCATGTCGGATCAACGTCGAAGCAGAGGAGGAGGAGAAGGAGAAGGAGGAGGAGGAGGAGGAGGAGAAGTTCGCCCTCCTCTGCCTTCCCCCTCTGAGCGCTCCGCCGAGGAGACCGAGGTCCTGCCCGCGACGGCCCGCGCGCGGCTGCAGGCGGCCAGGCAGTGGCGAAGCGTCCCGCTTGCCGATGGACCCGTCGAAGAATCCTCCTCCTCTTCCTCCTCCTCCTCCTCCATCCTCCTCCATCCTCCTCCTCCTCTTCCTCGTCCTTGTCCTCCTCCTCCTCCTACTCCTCCTCCTCCTCCTCCTCCTCCTCCTCCTCCTCCTCCTCCTCCTCCTCCTCCTCCCCCTCCGGGTTCAGGAGCGAAAGAACAGGGGCGGCACAGAGGGGGTTGATGACTACTGTCATGGCGGGGGTCACGATACCTCCCCAGATTTCATGGCGCCTCGTCTTGTTTCATTACGTCCCCGGCCCCCCCCTGGGCCGCGCACATGCCGCTGGCCATGATTTGCGCCCCCCCTCTTGGACGCCGGACTGGGCGATCCGATTTCGATTCGATTCGGAGCAGATCGCTGTCGATGCGATCCGTTGCCGATCCGAGCTGATCTCGCGGTTCGATTCGGCTTGGTCGAGCCTGGGGGGACACCTTGGGGAGCGGGTTGGGACCTCGATAGAGTTCTCCGCCGCGCCCCGAGGAGGCCCGACGAGGACAGTGTCGTGCCCCCCAGGCCCCAACGGCCCCAAATCGCAAAGCACACCCTGTCGTAACCATACCCTTTGTAGTCGCCGAACATAGGCGGCGAGCGAAGGGGGAAGTGAGAAGGGGCGGGCCTTGTCAGAAGGCTCGGAAGCCCCCTTTCTGAGCTTGTCCCCGAAGACGCAGGAGGCTTTTCAGCAGGCGCCAGGTCTCCTGAGAAGCCCCGCCGCCTTCTGAGAAGGCGCTTTCCCTCTCATGCCCCCACCAGCTGCCCTGATACGCCCGCGTTGAAACGTAACACGTACCGTGTTCAGCATGTACCAAGGGCTCCCACGAGGGCGCGAAGTCATTCGCGCTTCGCGGTCCTCATTCCTTCTCCCCGTCCTCCTCGTTCTCCCTTTCTCCCTTTGGGGGGGCGGCGCGAGAGCGCGAAGTTATTCGCGCTTCGCACTTCGCAGAGCGCGAAGCGCGAAGTTGGGAGCCCTAGTGTACGTGCCAACACGCTGTGTCTTGGCTCGGCACGCGTTGGTCCACTTTTTTTGGCGAACGTGCCCCGCCAAACGTGCGGCTTCGGACTGCGTGTCGCGCTCCTTGTCAACAGGCCACGCGTTGCGTGCTGCGTATCCGGGCAGCTAAGGTTTTGTGCGGCTTGCGCGAACTGTCTTCGCAGCCCCTCCTGGTCTGCACGAGCTGTTCTGAACCGTCCTCTGGTCTGCACGGGCTGCTCGTCGTCTTAGTACCTGATGTACTCTGTTGCTTCGCCGATCGGCGCGGGCTCCTGTCCCCCCCCCCAAAGACCAGATTCTTGGCTGCTTCTGGCTCAGGAGGGAAAGAAACACACAGACACAATTAATCGTCGAGTGCCAAGAAAATATGGGAAAATATGGGAATTGGGCGGGGAGACAAAAATCCAGAAAATATGGGAAAATATGGGGATTTTTTTTATTTGTGTGTATTTATTATTTGTGTGCTCCAGTTCCCCTTCACTGGCGTCTGCTTCTGGCGACTGGTCGGGGCCTCCTCGCCCCAGTCCCGCTCGCGCGACCTGGCAGAGACGGAGCGACGAAGCACCGGCCACCAGCCCACACCCAGAGACCGCCCCCTGCCCCGCGCTTCGGCCAAATTCCGAAGCCCGGAATGTATGAAAACGGGGCAGTCGTGCTGCAGTGCATCGGCTTCATGCTCTGAGAGCCTTGCTCCTGCTGTTGGAGCAGGAGGACGGCACAACCCACTCCCACCCCCAGCTAGGACCCCCACTCCCGATCTGGTGATTCACGGGGTCCTGGCTGGTGGTGGGGGTGTTTGTGTTTGGCCCACGAGAGCCTCAATCAAAACAACCCCGTCCCCAGCCAGGACGCCCTGGATCACCAGGTCGGGGGCGGGGTTCCTGGCTGGGGGTGGGGGTGGGTAGTGCTGTCCTAAGATTGTTTCAGCTGCGGCCTAACGGACTCCTAGCAAGCCATCCCCTTCTGTGACGTCCCCCTCGCCTCGCCCCAAGACGTACGTATGCGGCAGGAGGGGAGGTCGAAGCGCAAGGATGACGTCACGAAAGGGGATGGTTTGCTAGGGGTCGGTTGGGACGCGCTCCATTCCCAGACAGGCGACGTCTTGATTTTTTCCATACGCGGTCCCTGGAAGTCCCGACCCTTTCCCCGGGACCGGCTCCTCATCCTGACTTGTTTTTTGACGGTCCCGGGGCCCGTCGAGGGCCTCGAGAGGCCGAAAACGACGAAAAAATCCCGCCCTGAGCTTGTTGCGACGCGATCATCCCAGCATGTCGTGGTAGGCCTACGGGACTGCCAGGACAGTCGGCCCCCGGCCCAGAGGCGGTCGACAGGAGGCTGCGCGACGCGGAGGCCGAGGCCCACGAGGCGGAGGAGCACCGCGGGCGGTGGCTGACGCAGCAGTGGAGGCGCGCGGGGGGGCGGAGGCGGAGGCGCACCCAAGAGGAGGAGGAGGAGGAGGAGGAGGAGGAGGAGGAGGAGGAGGAGGAGGAGCGCCCACGAGGAGGGAGAGCGACCACGAGGGGGAGGAGGAGCACCCACGAGGCGGAGCAGCGCCCTCGAGGGGGGGGAGGAGCACCCACGAGGAGCGCCCACGAGGCGGAGGAGCGCCCTCGAGGCGGAGTAGCGCCCTCGAGGGGGGGGGGAGGAGCACCCACGAGGAGGAGGAGGAGCACCGACGAGGAGGAAGAGCACCGCGGGCGGTGGCTGCTGACAGAACATGTGTATAGCTCCGTCTATACAGAGGGGGTGTGAGAGAGAGAGAGAGAGAGAAAGAGAGAGAGAGAGAGAAAGAGAAAGAGAGAGAGAGAGAACCATACAGAGAACGAGAGAGAGAGAGAGAGAAATAAGTAAAGATATCTCTATACATGTATCGGAGGTGAGGGGGTGAGATCGAAGTGGAACGGAGAGACCCCCTACCAGGAAATCGATTTCGGTTTCGTGTTCGTGCGTGCCGTGCGGGCGAGGCGAAGCTGCGTGGGCGGGCGAGAGGAAGTCTCCTGTGGCTGAGGCGCGGCCGGACCAAATGACTCCCTTCCGGGCGGCCGGTGGCCCGCGGTGTCCCGCCGGTGTCCCGCTGGTGTCCCGTGTGGCTGAGGCGCGGCCGGACCAAATGACTCCCTTCCGGGCGGCCAGGGGCCCGCGGTGTCCCGCCGGTGTCCCGCGGTGTCCCGCCGGTGTCCCGCGGTGTCCCGCGAGGATGATGATGATGAGGAGATGATGATGATGATGATGATGATGATGATGATGATGATGATGATGATGATGATGATGATGATGATGATGATGATGAGTTTGATGATGACGATGATGAGATGATGATGATGATGATGGTGTCCCGGTGAAGATGATCATGATGTTAGTGATGGTGTCGATAATGATGATAGTGTCCCGATGATGAGGATGATGATGCTCATGATGATTATGTTGATGATGATGACGATGATGGTGTCCCGATGATGATGATGATGCTGATGATGATGATGATTCCGATGATGTTGGTGATGATGATGTTGATGGAAATGGTGTCCTGGCGATAATGATGTTGATGATGATGATGATGTTGATGATGATTATGGTGTCCCGATGATGATGCTGATGATGTTGATGGTGATGATGATGATGGTGATGCTGATGGTGTCCCGATGATGATAATAATGATAATGACGATGTTGATGATGATGTTGCTCATGATGATGGTGCCTCAATGATGATGATGATGTTGTTGATGATGATGGTGTCGATGATGATGATGATGATGCGATGATCCTGATGATGATGGTGTCCCGAGGATGACGACGATGTTGATGATGATGTTGATGATGAGAACGATGGTGATCATGATGGTGTCCCGATTTTGATGATGATTATGATGATGCTGCTGATGGTGATGACGATGACTGTGTCCCGATGATGATGGCGATGATGTTGATGATGTTGAAGATGAGATGATGATGGTGATGATGATGATGATGATGTTGTCCCGATGATGATGATGCTGACTTTGATGATGATGTTTATGATGATGATGATGACGGTGCCCTCATGATGATGACGATGCTGGTGATGATGTTGAGGTTGATGATGTTGATGATGATGATGATGATGAGGATGATGATGATGATGATGATGATGATGATGATGATGATGATGACGTTGATTGTGAGAGCGATTGTGATATCGATAGTGAGATCGATATTGAGACCGAATGTGAGATCGATTGTGTGATCTATTGTGAGATCGATTGTGAGATCAATTGTGAGATCGATCGAATGAGATAGATCGAGTGAGATCGATTGTGAGATCGTTCGAGTGAGATCGATCGAGCGAGACCGATAGTGAGATCGATACTGATATCGATAGTGAGACCAATCGAGTGAGACGTTGGTTCCCCCCCCCCCGAACCTCCTTATCACCCGAAGGGTGGTCGTATAGGTATATACATATATTAACCAGACACGTAGAACAGTTTGCCAGTGGCGTCGGCGTTCACCCTCTGTCTATGTGTCTCTCTTTCTCTTTCTCTTTCTCTCTCTATCTCTCTCTCTCCCTCTCCCTCTCCCTCCGCCAGTCCACTGTTCCGAGTGCCTTTCCAAAACATGTTTGCATTATGGTTTAAAACTTGTTACAAACACACCTTCCATATGTTTGAAGAGGATACCATCGGACTAATGTCCAGCATTCTTCAAACACGCGCTTGACGACCTACATGATGAATGCACCTGTGTTTGAAGATTGGAGTTTATAGATCGCATTGAAGATCTCAGCAGGCTCCAGTCTTTACACAAAAACCCCGACGGAAAGACCCCACATAAAAATCAGTTCGGCTAATCTGGAAATAACCTTCGCTTCCGTCCTCGCGATTAGTGAGGCGCCCTTATTGTCTTCTCTGCGTCATTCTCATTCTCGCCGTGGCGCAGGGCCCTCACCCGCTCCCCGCGTTGCCGTTGCCTCGCCCTCCTGCTGTTTGTTTCGTCGCCCACCACCTCCTCTCCTGTCTATTGCAAGAGCGCGCGCGTCGATTTTCCTCGACGCCGTCGCCGCCTGGGCCAGCACGGGCGCATTCTCGAATGGCCGCGTCGCGCGGCCGTTGGGACAACCCCGCGGGCCAGGCCGACGATGGGTTACTACCGCCAGCCTGGAGACAAAGGTTTCCCCCTGCCCCCGATTCGGCTGACGATGGGTTACCACCGCCAGCCCGCAGACAAAGGTTTCCCCCTGCCCCCCCTTCGACCGAGGATGGGTTACCACCCCCGGCCCGGACGTAAGGGTTTCCCCCTGCGCCCGGCCGCCGTCGTCGTCCTCACCCCTTTGTTCCTCCTTTTCCTCTTCACCTGATGGGTCGGGTGGATCGCCTTCTGAAGACTGCATGGGGAGGGGGGTCCCGCCTGAGACTTCCTCACAGTTCACTCACACACGAGGCTCCCGCCTGATACTTCCTCCGTGTTCAGGCTTCGGGATCCCCAAAGTGCCGACAATTACAAGGTTGAGGATGACCCGTTCGGATTGAAAATATGAAATGCGGACCCCGTGGGGCGGGGTCACCCGCCTGAGATTTCCTTGCAGCTCAATCACAGACGGGGCTCCTGCCTTATACTTCCCCCATATTCAGGCCTCAGGAGCCCCAAAGTGACGACAGTTGCAAATTCAATGGGTGACCCGTTCAGATTGAAAACATAAAGTGCGGGCCCCATACTTGGTAGCGGTTCCCGGAGGCTTCCTCGCAGTTCACTCTCAGACGAGGCTCCCGCATGATACTTCCCCCATATTCAGGCCTGGGGAGCCCCAGAGCGACGACGGTTAGAAGTTCGAGGATGACCCGCACGGATTCAAAACATGAGGCGCGGGCCCCATAGGGAGACGGCTCCCGCTTGAGACTACCCCACAGTTCATTCACAGACAAGGCTCCCGCCTGATACGTCTCCCATATTCAGGCCCTCGAGTCCAAAAGTGACGACAGTTACAGGTTCGAGGATGATCTGCGCGGATTCAAAACATGAGATGCGGACCCTATAGGGAGGGGGCTCCCGCCTGAGGCTTCCTCACAGTTCACGTTCCCGCCTGGTGTTTCCTTCATATTCAGGCCTCAGGAGCCCAAGCGCGACGACAGTTACAGGTTCGAGGATGACCCGCTAAGGTTAAATATATGAAGTGCGGACCCCATAGGGAGGCGGCTCCCGCCTGAGACCACTTCTTCGCAATTCACTCGCAGACGAGGCTCCCGCCCGATACATCCCCCACATTCAGGCTTCGGAAGCCCAAAAATGACGACAGTTACAAGTTCGATGATGACCCGAGCGGATTAAAAACATAAGGTGCGGGCCCCAGAAGGAAGGGGGCTCCCGCCTGAGACTTCCCCACAGTTCATTCACAGACGAGGCTCCCGCCTGATACTTCCCCTATATCCAGGCTTCAGGAGCCCAAAAGCCAAAAGTGACGACAGTTACAGGTTCGAGGATGACCCGTTTAGGTTAAACGTATGAAGTGCGGACCCCATAGGGAGATGGCTCCCGCCTGAGATTTCCTAGCAATTCACTCACTGACAAGTCTCCCGCCTGAGACTTCCCCCTATTCAGGCCTGGGGAGCCCAAAAGTTACGACAGTTACAGGTTCGAGGACGACCCGCTCGGATTCATTGTTCCGACGGAAAGATCCCACATGAAAATTTGTTCGGCTAGTCTGGAAACAACCTTCATTGTTGTCCTCGCGATTTGTGAGGCGCCCTTATTGTCTTCTCTGCATCATTCTCATTTTCTCACTCTCACCTTGGCGCCGGGCCCTCACCCGCTCCCCGCGTTGCCCTTGCCTCGCCCTCCTGCTGTTTGTTTCGTCAGCCACCACCTCCTCTCCTGTCCATTGCAAGAGCGCGCGCGCCGATTTTCCTCGACACCGTCGCCGCCTCGGCCAGCGCGGGCGCATTCTCGAATGGCCGCGTCGCGCGGCCGTTGGGACAACCCCGCGGGCCATCCTCATCCTCCTTTTCCTCCTCCTCCTCGTCGTCCTCGTCGTCCTCCTCCTCTTCCTCGTCCTCCTCTTCCTCCGCCGTTTTGTCCCCCTGTTCCTTCGACATTTCTGGTCCATTGGAGCATTTTCTCGCCGGCTCCTCCACCGCCTCCTCCGCCGCTCCCGGCCCCGCAAGGAATCTCTGAGGTTCCAATTTCGGGAGTCGAAACTCGACGTGAACATGTCCCCGCAAAATCTGCGATATTCGATCAAAGCGAATCCACAGACCCCTACTGGAGTCCATCCCGCAAGCGGCCCCCAGAAACTTGAATTTCGAAGCGGAGAAACCCATCGAACCCGAGAGCTCGCAACTCAAGGTTCATGCCTCGACGTAACCCTTTTGGACGCAGCGAGGCCGCAAAGGGGAGAAGGCAACGCGAGGATTGAGAAGCGCCCCCTGGGGCCG